GTCTGCCCTCCACTTGTAGAGACCATTATCCCCAGAAAGATGTCCCAAGTCTGGACTCCTGCCAGGAATCAAGGCCTGACACCATCTGTAAGAGATAAATAAATCGAAATATCATCAGCGAATAAGTGTGTGCCATCTGCTGCCCTGTCAGTTCAACTGGCAGAGGCCTCCAGAGAACTCCACGAAGTGCTTGCCAAGGCTCCGCTGCCAGCCTAGTATGAGAAGAGAAGCGCCCTGCAGGGCCCGCTGGCCTGCTCTGCCCCCACCCCCAACACTGTTCCTTCCATCTGGCCAGCGTGGGCCTTTCGCCCTTGCCTATTGTCTCTTAACTTACTGGCACATTTACTGGGGGCCACTCCGATCCTTTCTGACCTCCCAGCAAGTTGAAATTACCTGCTTAGAGAAAGGTTCCCGTGCTGCATGCCCAAGGCTCTGGCTCTTTGGGAGACCTGTCTCAAGACCAGAGTCCAACTTGGAACCAGCCTGATCCAAGACCCTGCAGCTGGGTCTCTTCTGGGAAGCTGCCGGTTATTCTGACTATTTGTGGAGGCCACTTTGGAGACTTCCCACTGGACAAATGGGTTTCTCTAGATCCAGCCAACTCTGCTAAGAGACAGTGCAAGACAGTGGCCAGAACAAAGGCTCTGTGCCTTACTGCTTGGGTTTGGCCCCTGCCTCTACCACTGGCTGTGTGATGCTAGATTCAAGTTTTCCGTGCCTCAGTTTCTTCATCTGTAGAGTGGAGGATGGTAATGGCACCTGCCTCTTAGGTGCTGGTGGTGTGCTGGTGGGTCGCATGTGTAAAGCACCTGGAAAAGAGCTTGGTAAAAAGGATGTGCATACTGTGTGGCTACAGAGCAGGCAATGTGGCACACTTGTGTCCTTAGAGCACTCATGAGATGGACATAAGAATGATCCAAGTTCAAGGCCGGCCTGGGTTACAGTGAGTTCATGGCTCTGTACTACATAGTGATGCCCCCTCTCTTATAAACCAACCCAACCCAAACCTAAGCCAAACCAAACCAAACATCTCCATGTTAGCAAATGTAATTTGTTGGCTGACTTTGTGAGGCCAAGGTTACCACTGTCCTCCATCTCCTGCCTGCCTCCCACCCTTGCAGAAATCTCAGCGTCGCCATCTGCCAGGGTGTCGAATGAAATCACACTCCCCAGACTCAGCCAAGGTTGGTGGGCTCTCCACGTCCCCTCTCTCAACCATCAAGCTCTGCTGCCAGCTAGGACCTGAGCTTCTGTGTGTCCATGCCAAGGGCAACTTGGCCACTCCGCAGCGCACCCCGCGTCTCTGCCAGCACCAGGCATCTGTCTCTGGCCGCTTTCCTTGTTTCTACTTGTGGCCATGCCAGGCTGCCACCCCTGCTCCTGCTGAGCATGCAGAATTACGGCTTCCTGCTTCTGGCTTCCAGGGATGCTCAGGGCTCTCCATGTGGGAGTAACCCTGTCTTACCTGAAACCCGGGGAAGGAATAAAAGATAGCTCTGATAAGCTGAGCCAAACCCAGGGCTGGTGCTTCGCACTGTACTATTTCAATCAGTCCAAAACCTGCAATGAGGGTCTATTAATCCCTATTCACTTTCTGTGGGTTTGCCCATCAGTGGCCAGACATAATAAAAAAAAAATAGTAAATAGGAAATCTCAGAAGTAAATCATTCATAAGTTTTAATTTGTGAGGCATTCTAAATAGTACAATGAGGCCCGGTGCTCTCTGCCCCACATGACTTTGTCTGGAGTATCCACGCTGTATAGACTCCCCTCCCATTAGTCATTCTCTACAGACAGAACACCACAGACCATGTGCAGGAAGATCAGCTTCACAAAACTGCCCTTCCATTCTTGCTGTGTCCAAAAGACACACAGTGTCTACAGCATCTGGGTCTCTGTGGTTTCAGGCAACTGGAGATCTTGAAAGGTATAGCCTATGCATAGGAGGGGACCATAGTGTTTAGAAAATTTCCACTTGGCAGGCAAGGAAAAGGATCAGAGAGGTGGACCTACATACCAAAGTTACACAGCTCGGAGGAAGGAGACGACAACTGTGAACCCAAAGCCCACTTTCCTTAGAGTATCTTCCTTTCAAGAAGGAAGCCTTGAGACCCGTGATGAATGACAGCAGGGGTGGGGCCAGTCCCATTGCAGATGTTGCCTGACTTAAACCTGAGCAAGCTCAGCATCTTGTTCACACCTATTCCTCGTTTAGGCCTCTTCTCAAGGTAGGAGGCTAGAATGATCATCCTCCATTGGGGATGGGGGAAACTCCCCAACAGAATGACTGGAAAAGCATTATTTGTCTGGTGTATCTTGCTTAACAGGTGGCTGAGCTGGGATTTGAACTCATGACTGCATGAAGCCCCCTTTTAACCAGGGGGCTCAATCTGCCCAGCCTCCTGTTGACCTGGGGTACCCTGACTTCCCCTATAGTCCACACAGGAGCCTCTTTCTCAGTGAGTCCTAGATTGCAGGAGCAACCTATTGGGGTGACGCCCTGGGACCTAGTCTGGATGTGAGGTCAAAGTGAGCCGGTTTTATCCTGGCCAGCGGTGTACACAGTGGATTCTGGGAACCTCCTTCCTATCTGGGCTAGCTCCCCTGGATCCCTGAGTAGGGATGGGCCTACTGATAGCTCAAGGTGCTGCATGAAAAGCACCTTTTGGGTTCCAGTCCTCTAGCCAGGCCCTTGAGGACAGTAGAGCAGGGGTCCTAGCAGGGAGGGAAGTCTGGGTGCAGAAAGCCAGCAGTCCTGGGAGAATGGAGCCCTGGGCTTCCATTTGTCTTAGTGAATGACTTCAAAAGACTTTTTTTCGACCCAGCATCTGGGGTTTGTTTCAAAACAAGCCCACAGTGGTGGGTGGGGAGTGTGTAGAGGCTAGTTGATTGCCCTGACCAGTGGTGTTCTCACTGGATTCCTGGGAGCCCTCTTCCTGTCTGGGCTGGCTCTTCTGGGTCTGAGTCAGGAACTGATATAAAGTGAGACATCATTGTAAGACAAGGACCTTCAGAGTTGGGGGGTATGAATCCCCATGGTGAGGCAGATGGTTGGGGAGCAAGGTAGGGTCCTGGTGACAGAGCTGGAGGACATTTGAGCTGGATCTTGAAGGCTGGTAAGATCCTCCTGCACAGAATGGAGGGGGGTAAAGGTTTTGAGTAGAAAGGATCAAGACATAGAGGGTGTCTTAGGGTTTCTATTGCTGTGATTAACACCGTGACCAAAGCAGTTTGGGGAGGAAAGGGTTTATTTCAGCCTAAATTCCACATCACAGTGCATCACTGGAGAAGTCAGGGCAGGAACCTGGAGACAGGAGCTGACACGGAGGCCACAGAGGAATGCTGCTTGCTGGGATGTTCCTCATGGCTTGCTCAGCCTGCTTTCTGATACACCCAGCACCACCAGCCCAGGGGTGGCACTGTCCACAGTGAGCTGGACCCACCCCATATCAGTAACCAACCAAAAAGGTACACCATTGGCTTGCCCCACAAGCCAATCTGGTGGGGGCATTTTCTCAATTAAGGCTTCCTCCTCTCTAGTGACTCTTAGCTGGTGTCAAGTTGACATAAAACTATCCAGAACAGAGGGACAGATGGGAGATGGCAACTCATAGAGTGAAGGATGGCACTTAAAGACTGGACTGGTACCAGTTGCATACCCATGATCCCTGAACTCAGGAAGCCAAGAGGATCATGAGGTCAGCCTGGTAACATAATGAGCTGTCTCAAAAAGCCAAACCCAAAATCAATGTAAAAGATACAGTGTCTGTGATGATCTCAGAGTGTTCAGGTCCTCTGCTTGGTGACACAGTATGCTGCCCTCAGAGCCACCACTGCCCCTGTAGTGTCAACATCATTTCTTGTGTGTCTCTTCCTCTGAAGTCCGCCTGACACATCCCATTCCTATCCCTATCTTTGCTATGCTTACCGATATGCTGGCCGCCCATCTGCCAGAGCACCCCTCTGCAGAGTTCCTGCGAAGGCAGGCTGGGGGAGGGTCTCCCATGGTTTCCTGCACAGCCATGTCTCCAGCACCCTCAATTGTTCCAGGCAGTGAGGCCACAGCAGTGACTAAGACTGGTGTGTCCACAAAGCTTTGTTGGTTGTTGAATACAGGCGACATCCAGGTTGCGGAGGTCCAGCATCAGGGGCGGCCTTGTTTTGGAGTGCCAGGGCGCTGTTCTCTGATGAGAAGACTCAGGGGTGGCTGAGGCACAAAGATGGCTTCGGGTCACAATGGAGGTTTATAAGGGCTGGGATTTAGTCTTCCTGGCTCACTATTGTGTTACCAGCACCCAGAACCATGCCAGGCACACAGTAGGTTTTCAGTAAAGTTTGGCAGAATACACTTGCATAGAGATGAAAGGCTGATATTGCTCACTTAAGGGAAGTTGCTTACTTTTTATTGGCGTGTACTCTACAGGATTGGGGCGGGAGAGGCTTCGTTATGACATTTTCATACATATGTGTGACATATTTTGGTCACTTTCAGCTCCCATCATCCTTCTTTTTCTCAAATTCTATTTTTGTGTTTTTAAAATTAAATTATTATAGGCCGGGCGGTGGTGGCGCACGCCTTTAATCCCAGCACTTGGGAGGCAGAGCCAGGCGGATCTCTGTGAGTTCGAGGCCAGCCTGGGCTACCA